AGTACTACTTCTAATAACTTAAACTAAGTAATTACTTTCTTACTTACTTAAGTAAGTATACTTAGTTACGTACCTTACTTACTAACGAACAACTAGTACCCTCCTCTCTCTCTCTCTCTCTCTCTCTCTCTCTCTCACACACACACACACACACTCTTAGAGAGAGTCACGATCTCTCTCTCGTTCTCTCCTCTTAATGAGTAGCCTCCATTAAATTAAAGAAAATGAGGATCTTTAAAATCAAAAAGAGAGAGTTGATGTATTTTGAAGAAAGAAGGGAGACGTTTAGCCTAGTCAGAGATCAACTCTTAAGCTCAGCCATATTTTCTTCTCATAGGACTTCTATAAATCTTAGTATATTTTTGAGCTCTCGAAAATCTTAGAGAGAGAAGTATTGCCTATAAAGCTTCTCTATCTCAAAATTTTCAGCAACACCTTAAGGAGCAAAAGTGTATCATTAATCAGGAAATTGGGTGTGGGGTGTACCAAGTCTTAGTAAGGTCACTCCAGGCATCTTCGAGTAAGTTTTTTTAGTAGTTTTAAGTTAATTTACAATTTTATTTTCGATTTTATGTAAATTTTGAGGAACTTATTTTATGCCAAAAATTAAGGTGGATGTTAGTTTACAGCTTCTGAATAGTTTCTATTTCTGTTGGCAGTAAAAATAAAAATCCTAGGTTGTATGTAGCGCATTATTTTCATTTTACAGGAACATATTGTAGCTCATGTAAGTGGATTTCAAGGATTTGGAATAAAAGTAAAAGAAATTTTTTGAATTTAATATCTTACTTCCACATAGCCACACCTTTCACCTAGGGCATCCGACCATATTCTAACATGCATCCCACATGTGTCATCTTCCCATAGTGTGTGCACTTCAACTTGTCCTCATCAAATGTGGGGCATCCATAACTGCGTCCACCACCACAGCCTCCACCTCGATTCCCAAAATGCCCTCCACCTAAATTACCACTTGAATTTGAGAGCAGAGCGGATCTGTCTATTTCACCTATAGACACTACCACTATCTTGTGTTGAGTTTCCTCATGCTGAAGAAGAGATAAAACAGTTCTTAGTGATGCTAAAGTCCCACCACCTGGAACATTTTCTCTAATTTGTTCATATCCCATTAGCTCCTCTCAAAAGATTAGAATCTTCCTTTACAATCTCTCTATTTGCTCCTTTGCTTAAGATGAGCATTGTATGTGTTGATAATGGCTTATTTCATCCCCAAAACCACGAAGACGAGCATAATAATCTCCCACTAACAAATCCATTTGTTTAAACATGCTTATTTATTGCTCCAGTCTATAAATCTGTACAATATTTTTTTTTGGGAATAAGCCCCATAAACTACATCCCCATATTCCTTTGGGGCCTGTTTGAATCTTTGGATTTTTCAATCCTGGGAAAAGTGAATCTTGGAATTGAGATTTCCTGGAAATGTCAATTTCTGTTTGGTCCAGGTAGAAATCTAGAAAATGCAAAATCCCGGTTTGGATTGTCTAGAATATCTTTTCTTGAAAACGCTAATTCTCTCTCTAAAAATTTTGAGATAGTTTCTCTCTCTAAAATTTTAATACATTCTTTCAATAACTGAAAATTTGAAATAGTTTCTCTCTAAAACTTCTGAGATGGTTTATCTCTCTAAAAATTTATATACTTTCTCTCTCCAAAATTTGATATAGTTTTTCTCTCTAAAATTTTGAGATTCTTTCGCTCTAAAACTTAAAATTTGAGATGGTTTCTCTATAAAAATTTTGAGATAGTTTCTCTCTCTAAACAATTTTAGATGGTTTCTCTTTCTAAACAATTTCAAGTAGTT